TGATGTAAATGTCAGAGATTTGCATTTCATATTTAGCCAACCCCCCCCCCCCCCCTCCATGTGCTAATTCTATTCTAAAAATCTCCATTATAGGTCATGGAGACCTAAAGGGACCCAAAAAAGTAATAAGTGCACAAGCATCCGATTAACATGAAATGAGGGCCAGTGGCTTACAGTAACTTGAGGGTGGAGTTTCCTCCTCAGTAGCTGCTGAACAACACCTCCAGCCATATCAGTCACTCTGTTGATCATTCACAAAAATACCCAGAAAGATAAGTAACATTATCCACCTAAGTAATGGACATAAAGTTACAGAAATAAGCATATAAGTAAAGTTTACAGAGTTCACCAAATTTAATCTGCAACAGAACAATCATGGAAACTAGTAATGCGAATTGCTACAGGAAATGCTATCATACTAATAAATGTAATGCAAGATTAAGATACAATTATCTTGCAATAAAAAAAACTTTAAACAATAAAAAAGTGTGAAGCTTTTAAAAAGTGAGTCTGAACAAATTTCAAATTCAATTACAACATTTATGGTCATCATAAAACATAGATCAACAAAGAGAACCCCGAAGAAAGGAAAAAATGGGACAAGATGATCTTAAAATGCCGTACCTTCTTAATCACTAATTAAGCAATTATAGATCCAAAACTAATCACGTAGTAATAATAACAACAATATCCATCACGGAACATAATGTAATGGGGAATCATGTAACTCCACAAGCACAACAACTACAAACACCAGAGGAAAAGTACGGAAACTAAATCACATAACTCGCTGATAAAAACTAAGGCTTCTAAAAAGCTGAGGAATAGGGACGTGACGTACGGTGACAAAACGGCAAAAACCGAGAAGACAAAACGCAATTGCGAGGGATAAAACGGAAATGGAAGAAAGAAACCTAGGATCTAGGATCGAAGATGAGTATGGAATAATAGATGCGGGGAATGGAAGAGTGGACTTACGAAATCGAAGCAAAGCAAAGGCGAAGGTTGAATGGTCAAAGAGAAGTGAGGTTGTTCTGTTCTGCTCCGTCGCAAATTCAGTGGAAGGCAACACAACCTGATGAACAAAAACTACCACGAAGCAGCGGCAACTATCGCGTGTTTCCACCACATGATAATTATTTTAATCATTAGATTATTAAAAAATATAAAACAAGATAAGCAATAATTTTCTTATCTCTCTATTTTTTTATATATAAATAAATTTATTGTATAATGTGTAAAGATTAATATTTTAGAATTAAAGTTAAGCTACACTTAATTAAATTTTAAAAAAGATATTACCATTCAAATTTTCTGAATAGAAATGTGTTATAATAAATATTAAAATATCATAAAAAATTAAAATAATATATATATATATATATATATATATATATATATATATATGATTATAACCTCTTATTTGAGGGATAGTAAATAAATAAAAAAATAAACATGTGTGAAAATATTTGATTAAATATGTTTAATAATGGGAAATATCATCTCAAGTTATCTAAACAAAATATAATAGGAAAGATATATCTTACTTCCATATTAGATTTGAATATCTAATATTTTGTATTTAATTCAGGGAAGATAAAATGGGTCAGGTATGCTAGGTTGGTTCCTGAGTCTGCTTAAAAAATAGTGAAGCAAATTAGTGATTTTAGTCCATTAATTCGTTTTGACCCGTCCCGCCTAGTATATCAACTCGACCGGCAAAGGACGAGGCAAGACAAACTGGTCTATTGACCCACTTAAAAAATATTATATACTAAAATTAAAATAAAAGAATTATGATTAAAAATATTATATTTTTATGTGTTATGTTATTGAAATATATAAATATATTAAAATATTATAATTTAAATTATAAAAATTAACTAATTAAACTTAAATTATTGATTATAATTAATTATTTTAACACAAATATATTTTATAGTTTATTTAATCAAAATATTAATTAATAAATAAAAACTTAAAAATTATTCATATAATTAAAGATATATTTAAAATATATATATATAAAAAAAATTATATAAAAGAAAATTATTGGTAGGTTGTCTTGTTAACCCATAAATTCGTCATTTTGTGCGAAGCGAGGTTAGGGTCGGTAGTTTATTCTAATTATGACGGGTCAGCTTATCCCATTCCATTTTTGGCAAGCTAGAGGCGAGACGGACAAAAATAGAGCGGATTAACCCGTTTTACCATATCTACTTTAGTTAAATACTTAGTGTCATAAGTGAAATGAAAAAAAAATCGAATTACCTTAGTTGCATATTATTATTTGGTGTAGATAGTCTTTTTACTTAACAAACATATTAAAAAAATTTCAAAGAGTAAGCAAGATATCATCTCCATATAAACTTATTCGTCAATTTTATTAGTTTTAAATTTCTTATATTAATAGTTCGTGAAACTTGGGTCTTTCAAAGATAATAATTAATTTATAAATTAACAAATAAAACTAACTAAATAATGTGGAATTGATGTATGGTCTAATTGATATAGTTAACTAATATAAATATTAGTTAAAGTGATTTATACGCATGAATACACATGTGATAGGAAGTGTTTTGGAAATAAGCATGGTTATTTTCAAGGAAAAAATATTATTTGATATGTGAGTTATATATTGAATTTGAGATTTGCACTACTACAAAATATATATTTTATATCAGTCAAAACAAACATTTTATATGGTTATTCATCTAATGTAGATATAAGTTATAATTTTTTTTTACATTGGTTATAGTATAACCGATGTGATATATATTTATTTTTCTTATAGGGTAAAGTAGTGTATAAAAAAGGTTTGGCCTATCAAACGTCAGGTTCCTTCACGAAAAAGTTTAGAATAATAAGGTTTAGGGTTTGTATAACAAAGGAAATGTAAAATTGAGACAAGTTACTCAATAGAAATCACTAAACACATTTTAAATCCTTAGGGCTTAACTTTCTTTTCTTCTCATTCTCTTCTCCATGGAGAAAAACTCTTGATGATACTCTCCCACGAAAAATTCACTGGAAGCCCACATCGCTTCGTTAAAGGTAACAAGCTTATGTTCGCCACCCCAAAGCCTCAAACATCAGACTTTGTCATGCTTGTTAAAAAATTTTGGAAGGAGAGTGAGTGATAGACTCTTATAATCGTAATTGAAGTGAAATTTGAACCTCACAGTGTCGGTGACAATGTAGACATGGTTCCCACTCATTGTGGTGAGACTTTGGTCTCTTAAATGATTGTGCTTTAGTTGAGGAATTTAATTATGGTGAATAGAATGAAACATACTATGTGTTTGATTTTATGTCAATATTATAATTAATAGTATGAAATATATTATGTGTTTGATTTTATGTCAATATTATGATGAATAGTATCAAACATAATATGTGTTTGATTTCATGTCAATATTATGATGAATAACAAGAAATATACCATGTGTTTGACTTTATCACAATGTTATTTTATGCCTGAGTTGTTTTCGCATTGATTTTTGACAAACTATAAATTTGCTTAATAGTTTGATTCATCATATCAAAGTATTTCATAGACACATCGTGCACTAGATTTTACAAGTGTTTGGGAGAAATCCAATGTGCTTTTACTAGCCTTCTGAAAACTTAGTTATTAATGCAACCAAGTTGTGTGTCATTCACATCGTACTCAAAGTCACTCATTACAGATAGTTGTTGCATTTCAGAATTTTAATAAACATGTTTTGTGTTCTTTTACTAAATTTGGTTACCTTAAACAAGTTGGAAATGGTTATTACTAATTATTTATTGGGTCGTGCATTTCATTCTTTGTTCATGTCTTTATATCCTATGCTTGTTTTGACGCACCCAAATCAAGTGATGATTTGATTGCCTTCAAAATTTCTTGAGAGAGAAATTATACCAATTACAGGGTTTCATCTTTGGGGTAAGAAAATGAGAGAATAGGAATCACTCCCCATTGAAAAGCTAGCACGACTTAACTTAAGGTAACGAATGTAGTACATTGTATTGGAAGGCCTAGAAGTTATGAACTCAAAATTCATGCAACTTGTTCGAGTTGATGGTGCCACTATTGGTGGGATTATGAGGAGGGTAATGCTGTGATGAAAGGATATCCAAAGAAACCCAAAACCAATAATAAGGTTTTTTCAAATAGATGGTTTCTTTTTGGGGATTTGGCTATGAAGCATAAAGATAGATACATAAAAATCAAAGACAGGTCAAAGGACATCAAGAACTGGTGGTGAAAATATAAGTAGTATTGAAATAAAGAATGTTCTATTATTTCATCCTAAAATACTTGAGGCATTAGTGGTGGCAATGTCAAATAAGAAGTGAGATGAGTTACGCCCTATGTTTGTGACACTAAAGGAAGGAGTGGATGGTAGTAATGAGCAACGTTTGGTTGAAGACATAGTTAAGTTTTGTAGGTCACACATACCTACTTATTGGGTTCCGAAATCAGTTGCATATGGACCATTGCCAAAACACAACAATTGGGATGACACAAAAGATTTTGTTGAGGGAAAAGGCTAAGGAGATGGGTCTTGTTAGGAAGAACAAGTTGTAACCATATATCACATAATGTTTCTACTTGTTGCACTTTATCATGTACTAAAAAATTAATTATTTTTTGTAATTTTTTTAAAATATTTATAAGAAATACTTATAATTTTTTTATAAATAATTACTTTTTATAATTATGATTTTTGCTTCAATTTATTTTACAGAAAGTAACTACAATTATTCTAAAAAAAATATTTGCAAAAATGTATTGCAAAGTTTACTACAAATATATTAATTATACATATTTTTTTTAGAAATAAAAATTTGTAAGAAAATTGGAAAAAAATTAAAATTGTTTTTTGTAATTTTTTTTATAAATATAAAGTGCAAAGAGATATATGTCACGCAACATTGTGGTTGCGTGTGTCGTGGTCAACGCCATATGCACTAATCTCGATCCTAAGAACATGAACAAAATGATTTTCACTTTCTCAGATGATGTCATCATCACTAACAACGAAACCACCATCCTCACCTAGATGCAGGTCCTCCATCTTGTCATCAAGATGCTCGTAGAGCTCCCCAAGACATAGGACTTTGTTGTCGGTGACAACATCGTCATCACTAGCACCCTACTCGAACAATATCTCCTCCTCTTCTCCCATGACATCCACCCACTGCGGAAAGCTTTTAAGAATCTTAAAAGCTACCACGTATAAAATAGTTCCTAAATTATTGTTTGAAATTAACATTGAGTCCTCTATTAAGTTTAACTATTACAGATGAAAAGTATGTATGACTTTTTCTATGATTATGTAGAATATTTAATTTTTCTAAAACTCTTCAAGCATGTCTCTCTGATTTTGTTTCAATTTTTTTACATATTTTTTTTTATAGGTCTTTCACATGGCAAGAAAAAATATTGACGCTGAAAAGAGGATAACTCAAGACTTGCAGAAGTTAACATCAGACTTGTCTTGATTGATCAGGAGATTGGTAAAGCCATATGTGGATATTTTATGGTGAGAGCCTCATTCATAAAATTGAATTGTTATATTTTGTTGTATTTGTGGTGAAAACATATTTAATGTTTGTTCTTTTTTCTATTGATTTTTTTTAACTATTATTTATCTTGAGGTTCACGTGGAGATTACATCTACTAACATGGGGTGTCGCTATACTTTATGCCTACATGTTACTATGGTCTTGGATTTTGTGTTGTCATATGGGCTAGAGGAAGGGAAGTAAAGAAAGCTTTTCAACAAGTGTTGTCCATATTATTTGAATACAAACCCACATTTCAAGGAGAAAAGACAAAAATTATGAATTGCATCATGACCCAAATAGAGGAGGACTAATGCATCACTTTGTTTCAGTCTTTACGTTTATTTAAATAATGACCAAATCCTTTGTAGAATTGACTGACCAAATTATGTTTTTGGTTAATCAACTAATGAGCTTTAGTTTAGTTTTGTTTCAAGTTGTAATAAAAGTCCAATTGAAAACTTAGGCATAAGCTTTTAGGAGACCAAGAGGGTGTAAAGCTGATCGTTTTTTGGTGACTTTTGGTTGCCACAATTTCAGTTACAATCACCAATTAAGTAGTTTTCAATTCCTAGGTTAATAGATCATTATTAGTATTTAGTTGCCTCCATTAAGTAATCTTTAATTCCTAAGTTAATGGATTATTATTAACATTTGTTTACATCTATTAATTAGTTTTCAATTCTTAGATTATTAGATCATTATTAACATTTATTTTCATTTATTGTATCTTTTGATGACAAAACTTTTATATAAACTTGAATCATTTTTATAAAAAAGACTATTAGAGTTTAACTTTTTTTATCTTAATGAGAGTGATTCTCGTAAGTTTTTTAGTGATTCCGGAACCCTTGATTGTATAACTTTCACATCTTTTATGAATTGCCTCCATTGAGAAGAATGATTCTTTCCTTTGACCTTTCACATTCACCTTTTGTTCTCTCTTCACTAGAACCCAGAAAACTCAATTCTGCCCAACCCTAAAACTTTCATTACTTTCTCACTAATTTCCTAAAAAGTTCTAATCCTAAAGATTCTAAGTCAGCTCTTGTGCAAATGAGATTTATATCAATTCTAGACAGGATGAAGTTGTTTTTGTGTATTGTACGAGCGCATTCTTGTAGATGAAGTGTTCAAAATATTGAATTATTTTAAGGAAGATCTAACAAATGAGGAAGACTGAAATAAGTTGCAAGTTTTTTAACCAAACAAGTTGGAAAAAGAGAAGGCAATTATTAACTCATTCATTCCTTCATTTATTTCTCTCTCTCCATAACATTAAATTTTTTATTATATATGTATACTAAGTTCTACACAATTATTATGTTTCTTTCATTGATAAGGAAAGCAAAGTGCTTAAATTCTTGGGCTTTATGTGGAATCCTCTCTCATGGGTCATGGAAGTCGATGCCATCATGACCATTGCATTGACAAATGCAAGTATAATGGTGTTGCCAACGTATACTAACAATGTGTGAGTGCTCATGGGAAGTCTTGCTCCTGAAGCCAAGGTATACTAACAATAATTAATTATGATGAAGATGTTGCAAGCTATTAATTAATGTGTTTGTTATATAACATGTGAGTGATTGTATGTTTTATATAGTGTTAGGCTAACACCCTCACACTTAATAATCTTATAATAGATAAGGGCTTGATTGAGGCAATTGAGAAGATATCAGACAAACACCTATCTAAATGTATCTAAGCACCTATCTAAGTTATTTGTCATGTTTTCAGGTTTTCTCAAGAGATGCAGACAATGATACATTAATTTTGTTTAGAGATAGAACCTCGTAGTAGAAAACCAAGATACTATCAATGCTTGCATAGTTGAAATGTTAGGTGATCCTAAGGAGGGATAGACTATAGATAACATACATAATTATATATGTTTTCTAATGTTTGCACTTGAATTGTTAATTTTTAAATTGTAATTATTTTATCGATTATTGGAAAAAAATATTACCTAGGTTAAATTATTTGATGATTGAAGTTGATATTATTGTTGCATGTGATATCAATTGTCCCATGACGGAGGTCGGTGAACCGAGTCACAATCGAATCATTACGCTTAGAATATTACTCTTAAATAAAAAGAGTTACGTTCTAACTAATGGTTATAACTTTTGATTTAATGGTAAACGCTCGATCCTAATAATTATTAATACATTATAATCTATAATTATTATTTTTTAAATTAATACAATGAAAAAATTGTATGCACATTTTCATTTTTTTAATAAATTGTATTATGAATTTTTTGAAAAAATAATTCAATAGAATTTTTTTATCATGTTTATGGAAAACAAAATTGTCATAATTTCCTACAAAATTGTTTGCAACTTTTTTAGCAGAAACATTACGTGCAATTTTTTTTTCCAGAAACATTTTCCTAGAATTTCTTTTATAGGAAGCTTTTCTGCAAATTTTTTGGTAAAATATTTTATAGGAAATTATTTACAAATTTAGAACATTTCGTGTAATATATTTTTTTCATAAAAATTTCCTATAGTTTTTTTTATAGAAATGTTCACTGCAAATTTTTTATAGGAAATTATTTACAAATTTTATATCCTCATTTAATTAATTATCCACTAAGAAATTACATCCATATTAGAATTTGTAAGAAAATTTAAGAAAACTTATTTATTACAAATTTTTATAATAAATTTATAAAAATATTTTCATGAAATAGAATTTCTAGTAAAATGATTGTTTTTAATATTGTTTATTTATAACTACAATAACATTTTTTTTGAAGTAAAATGTTTTTGTATGCAGTAGTATAGTAATACAATTTTAATGCAATTTCAATAAATTTCACTATAATTGCAAGAAAGTCTTTTGTAAAATTTTATTTTGCAAATTTTTTTTCCTACAATTATTTTTGGAAATTTTTGTAGTAGAAATTATTCCAGTAATTTTTGTTGGCTATAATATTTCTTGCAAATTTTTTCATAAATGTTTTCTACAAATTTTTTCAGGAATATTTTCTACCATTTTTTTAATAAAAGGATTTTGCCATTTTTTTATAGAAAATTTTATAATTTTTTTTGTGAATTTTATATTCTTAGATAATTATTTATCCACGAAGGAATTATGAGTAAATTAAAATTTATAAGAAAATTTACAAAAATATTCTCATATTTTTTTAATAATTGTGATTTTTTTATTACCAATATAATTGTCAGGTGTTATATATACAATAAAAAAATCTAAAATAATATATATATATATATATATATTTATTGTTTCATGAAAAGAAAACAAAATAAAAAATTAATACATGATAATAAGTTATAATAAAATATTACTTACAAATATAAGTTTTTACCTTTCAAAGAAATAGAAAAAAAAATTATATAAAATACGTAAATTATATTCTATAACGTGTGTATATTAAATTTTAAAAATTAATTTGAATTATGATAAATATATTTTTGAAATTCAAATTATATAGATGTAATTAATATACATAAAAACTTATTTAAAATATTAATAATTATTGATTAATACTTATAATATGTATTTTAGTAGTCTAATCTTCAAACAGAAATAATTTAAATAAAATAAATGTAATAGTCAATACTAGTAAAACATAAAAAAAGGAAAATGATTCTTTGACAATCGAAAACAAACATCCGTTCGACAACCGGGTTAAAAAGAAATTAATTAAAAATAAGGGTTTGACTAGTTAAATTGTAGAGGGGTAGAGATGTAATATTGTAAAAATGGGGGATGTAATGGTAAAAAGTGAAATATTTGTTCTTCCTCTCGCTCTTGTTCTTCCTCTCGCTCTCGCGTGTCTTCTCCGTCTGGCTGTTCTTCCTCTCGCTCTCGCTCTCGCTTTGTCTATGTTTAAATATTCGGTTCTATTCATTTGGTTTAGGGTTTAATTTGGTTGTTGATTACGGTTTTGAATTCGTTTGCATTGTAAAGAATAAGCATACAACAACCATCGAGGTTAATGTATTCTTTGCTTTCTAATTACTCAGAGATTCTCTGTTCTCTGTTTTCGTTCACTGTTGACTATCTCAATAGTCATAAACATAAACCATGGCTGGCAAAAGAAAAAGCTCCAAGCGCACCCACTCAGAAGCGACTTCTTCAAGTACCCAAACTGAGAAGGGGAAGGAGGTGATAGCGACCTTAGATAGCGGTTAATTAGAACCGCTTTTAAAAATATATATTAGATAGCGGTTCGTTGTGAACCGCTATCTAAAGTATAGTTCAGATAGCGGTTGGCCAAATAACCGCTATCTAAAGTCATATATGTCAAAGTGATCGACTATAATTGGATAATAATCGATCATAATGTATAGTTGAGATAGCGGTTGGCCAAATAACCGCTATCTAAAGTCATATATGTCAAAGTGATCGACTATAATTGGATAATAATCGATCATAATGTATAGTTTAGATAACGGTTGGTCAAATAACCGCTATCTAAAGTCATATATGTCAAAGTGATCGACTATAATTGGATAATAATCGATCATAATATTCGATCAAGGAGGAGATACCGGTTGGAGGAGAAGATAAGGACAGCTTTCTTCCATTCCACTCTTGCTCCAATTCCAATAGTCTGAGATTGAAGATGATGTCAACAGTTAGCCAAGAAGGTTTATGGCAAACTGGAAGGAGTGTTGAGAGATAAATGATCTACCTTAGGTAATGCTTTGTTTTCAGTGGGAACCGGTGGAGATTGAGGTGAAGGTCTTGTAGTCTCCGGATTGGTTGGAGTAGAGCTAGTACATCGGACACCTGCGCCAACTTGAGAAGAATGCTCATCCGAAATGAGAGTCGATGCAGCGGAGCGATTTGAGCATCATTGCTCGGTGTCACTGGATTCCCCATGGTTGGCTTCCGCTCGATCGAGGTCCTTCTATCCCATCCGGTTAGGATATGTTAGAAGAGAAGGCTGAGATCAAGCCAAACTGTTTTTATAGAAGATTTTCAAAACTGCTGGTTTAATTAATCTATTAAAAGATTCTTTTAATCTGTTAAAAGTGCAGTTTTAATCTGTTAAAACTTCTTTTAATCCATTAATACGTTTTGATTCTTTAACAAATTTGTTTTAATTGATACGACAACGTTTATATCAATTAAAACACTTTATAAAAAATCTTCTAAGTTGATTTAATCGATTGTTTCGCGATTCAATCGATTGAAATACAGAGAAAACTTTCTTATAAAACTTTTCAAGTTATTTTAACTGATAAAAATAAGTTTTAATCGATTAAAACGTTGTATGTAAAATTTCAAAGTTGTTTTAATCGATTGAAACGAGATTTAATCGATTAAAAGAGTTCTGATCGGTCATAACTAAATTCTGATCGATCATAACTGACTCTGATCGGTCATAATTGTCTTCTAATCGATCATCCTGACCCTTCAAGTGATTTTAATCGATTGAAACGTGTTTTAATCGATTGAAACGTCACTAAGTCATTGAAACATTGTTAACATGATAGCTACATCTCTCGTTTTCATTTATATCTCCCATGCTAGATAAACGATGAAGGATACGAGTGCCTACCATTGACAACAATATAATAGCAACCATCTCCTTTAAATTATATTCATATTACAATACACTAGTTTACCTACTTACATCATGCAAAGATACAGTCGCTTGAGCGATCGGTGAAGCGACAGACGAAACGTCCTACACAGTTAGCCATCTAATAAATCTTGGTTCACCACATATAACATTTAACTGTCGCTCAAGCGATTACATAGTCGCTTGAGCGCGACTCGAACCTCGAAACAACCTTACATAGCTGGTTAATAAGAACCGCTTTTAAAAATATATATTAGATAGCGGTTAAACGTTAACCGCTGTCTAAGGTCCGTGAATAATCGACTATAAGCTATAATAATCGATCATATTCTCTCATTTTTCTAAAGTCGCTCAAGCGACTTTATCATCGCTCGAGCGAAAACACCTGATAGAATGAGGATTCTCGGGTTGTGTTTCGCTTGAGCGACTATAGTCTCGCTCAAGCGACATTTGACTGACTTTGCCGAGCGGTTAATATGTTAACCGCTCTTAAAAGTAAACATATAATAGCGGCTCCATGTTAACCGCTATCTAAAATATACTTTTAATAACGGTTATTTGTAGAACCGCTCTTTTTAGTAGGTTTAGATAGCGGTTTCCAGAACCGCTATCTAAAGTCCCAATTTTAAAAAAAAATTGTTTAATATTTGTTTTGCTTATTTGGTCAAAAAGACTAGGTTTGCTTTAAAATTATCTAAATTCCCAATTTAAAGTCTCGTAACGATTTTAATATTATTGGTTTGTTATATACTGAAATGTCTACAATTAGGTTTGCTTTTTTTGAAGGTAGTTTGTCGTTATCATGCAGTAGTGATTTTTATTACATGTCTTTCATTGGACGTAATATAGAACCGATGATTGTTACGTAAATGTATGGACCATCAACTGCTTATAAATGCATTGAAGAAATTAAAATTGCTGTTACATTGTTATATTTACATCCACAAAATCGAATGTATAGTCTACACTACTCGTTGCACGTCTATGTCCTATCATATATACTCTAACAAAATCAGAATGTGGAGTCTACACTACTCGCAAAATTCTATGTTGTAGATATTAACACTTATGTCCTGCAAGTTGAAGAAGAAATCATTAGTATACATGAACGTCATGCACTTCTAAACTAATGTAATATTCATTGTTGACAAAGTATTTCATTAAAAAAACAATGTTTCCAAACCATTTAGTTGAGGAAGACAATTGTGTGCCGTCAACATTACTCGTCAAGTGATGTCAACAATGACACAAAACCAAGTGGTACCCAATGTTGATGGCCGCAAAGGGCAACAATTACATGAGTTTTGACAAATGACTTTATTGCCATTTTACATAACATAAACCGCATAAACAAGTATATCAATCCCACAAATAAATTCAAATGAATTGCATATCACACTTTAAATAAAGCAAATTCAATTGAACAATCACTATAACATGAAATAAATTTCATTTTTGACACACACCAATCCAGATGACCGATAATCAACATGAGTTCCTTCAGTGTTCCCCTGTAATGGCCAAGATAAGATATTAATGAACTTATGAAATCATCCAATACAAAATAACATGACAGTTGTGGATATAATACTTACAATATTTGTGGTGCACGTGTGCTGGCCTTTATTTTGTAACCTTCGCGTTGCACTTTTTTCACTTGTTGACACCTTTCGGAGTGAACGTGGTCTTCCTTTCCTTTTAACATGCAACGGGTTACGAATATCAATGTCAACGTTGTCAACATATAAGCTTTGTGAATCTCTAGGAGTATTACTTTCGTAGATATTAGTATCTATTTGAGTTTGAGAACGTTGAGATGTATGTGTTGGAGCAAATTTATTCATCATTTCATGCAACATGTCCGTCCGCTCAATTGACTCGATGCAACTTCAGCAATCTCATAAAATCTTTTACACAACTCATCGTATCGTTCAATCTGCGGTTGCTTCTCCTTTACATTGTAGGTGGTTTTCATATAAGTATGCTTCCTTCTCACATTTTTACTCCATCTACTTAAAATGTATTTGCAGGGAATCTTTTTAACCCTTTGTTGAGCAAGGACGACCAAACAATGTCGGCAAAGAATACCTTTGAATTCAAATAGCAAGCACGTGCAACCGACATTTTGGTCATCAAGGTTGAAACTTACACTCGTACAGGTGTTCTTTAGAATCTTCACCACAAATAGATTCCTCCATAACGTCATAAAACCAAGCAGATCCAAGGCAAGACACATGCACAACACTCGCAGCTTGATTTTTCCTCTAAATTCCGCTTGAACCTCTGCGAATTTTGAATGTGTATACTCCGATTGAAATTGCCTCTCTATCGTAGATCGTGATCCACAATTAATAATTGTATGCATGGATGCAAAATCAGCTTCATATTCCTTCTCAGCCTTGTCTTGTAAGGCATTTTCATACTCGCTTGACAAATTGTTGGAGGGATGTCATTGAGGTGATATATCCATCAAAAAATGCATTCATACTTTCACTTCGTTGTGTAGTTGACATCCCGACCTCAAAATTGGTTTTTCAAAAAGCATGGAACCCATCTCTCGTTTCTCTTGGAAAAGGCTATTCAACCACTCATTGTCTTGTAAGCCAAAATCTCGATATGAAATTAGCCCATTTGGATGTGAATTCAGATATGGTGGAAGACTCATAAACAACCTCCTTCATAGCATACTTCATATTTTTATATTCTCGTATAACCTTTCAACTTTTCTCGAATTTTTTTCATTATATGCCATAGACACCACCTATGACTGGCTTTAGGAAAAACTATCTCGAATGGCATTTTGCATTGCCTTGCACCGGTCGATGATAATACCCGTAGGAGCCTTCAATGACATGCAACGTAACCATGATTCAAATAACCAAATAAAAGAAGTGGTGTCTTCACTTGATAACAACCCACACCCTAACAATATGGAGTGTCCATGATGATTTACACCCACAAATGGTGCGAACGGCATGTCATATTTATTGGTCAAGTATGTTGTATCAAATGAAACAACATCGCCAAAGTATTCACAAGCCGCCCTACTTCTAGCGTCAGCCCGTAAAACATTTTTTATACGATTATCATCATCCAAGTCTATATCAAAATAGAAATCCTTGTTCAAGTCCCTCATTTGTGAAAAATAATTCAATAGAGCTTTCCCATCACCTTCTTTTCCTAGTGCACGTCTTTGTTTATCGACATAGTTGCGTACATCTCGTTCGACAAATTGGAGGTTTTCATAACCTCCCGCACTACTAACAACCGACCGAAAGCTTTTATTGATCCTCACACCTGCATCATCATTTATGTCTAGAGTCCTCTTCACATGCAAACTAATGTTCCTATTGCTTCGAAACATTCTGGATTTCTTTGGGCTAAGAGAATGTGAATGTTCATCATTCACCGACATAATATACCATAGTCCTTCCTTTAATACAACCGTTATCCGTGCAGGACATGAATTTGTTTTGGTGGGTTGGGTTCTAATTTCAGTAGGTGTAGCAGAAACATACTTACCAGCCCTTGCACACACCAACATGAAGTACCGCAATTGGTTATCTGGCCCCTTCTTTGAACTCCTTGTTTTGATGCCAAATCCTTTTTGTATGGCATATTGTCGATAAAATGATTTAACCGCATCTGCAGCTTCAAAGAACATTCCTACACATGGAGCAGAACCGTCAGTATTCGTCAGTAGTCCCGACATCTCGCGTCAGGAGATCCTTCATCATGGCCAACCAACACTTCTTCTTCATGTAAACTTGTGGCATCTCGCATTACTCGGGTATTTTATCATGTACACGTATCATTTCTTGGTCTACACCTTTGAGAGGACCATCACATTGTTGTACATCCGCATCACTACCTATGTCATCATACATGGCCAAAATGCCTTCATTGACAACTACATCTCTCGTTTTCATTTATATCTCCCATGCTAGATAAACGATGAAGGATACAATTCCTACCATTGCCAACAATATAATAGCAAGTTATATAAGTTCTGAACTTGGAGACGAAAATAGTCAATGTAAATGTTCAATCGTTTATCTACCCAAAAAACACAATTTTAGATCACAATGTAGACAAACTCTAAACGCTAAACCCTAAAAATATATAATGCACTAACTCCCAATAAGCGCGCCTACAACAACTATGGCGAATGGAGACTGGAACGCGAACTTGGCGACACACAAATATATTACAATGTAATATGCTTCAATGTGAGCAAGAGAATCAGAAAGATTGAAAATACAAAGAACGTACTCGAAGCTTAATAGAAGACGCGAGAGCGAGAATGAGAGCGCGAGAGCGAGAATGAGAGCGCGAGAGCGAGAATGAGAGCGTAGAGAGCGGAAAAAACGCAATTAGAAGAGCGCGAGGTTGAAGAAAGTAGGAGGGAAGGATGAAAAAGAAAGTGACTTTAGATAGCGGTTACTTCTGAACCGCTAACAAAAACATACTTTAGTGAGCGGTTCAGAAGTAACCGCTAACAAAAACATACTTTAGTGAGCGGTTCACTCACAAACCGCTATATTATATACTTTTTTAAAAGCGGTTCTTATTAACCGCTATCTAAAGTTTCGTCGCTCAAGCGAAATTTACATCGCTCGAACGACGCTACCTGCCCAAAATACTGTGCATTTAATATTTTTTATTCAATAACACTGTGCATTTAATATTTTTTTATTCAGTTGTCGAATGGATGTTTAAACTCGAGTGTCAAAATATCAAGCACTCTAAAAAAAAAGACTAAACTAATAATATATTTTGATAAAATTTATTAAAAATTATAACATATTAGATTAACGTTTTGAATAGTATAGAATCAGAATAATAAAATAAAATAAAATATTATTTTAACAAAAAATAATAATAAAACTTTAAAAATAATAATTTAGATTTTAAAAATAGTTTAGGAATTAATTTAAAAAATAAATTTTAAAAAATTAATAATTTTAATTTAAAATTTGTTTTAAAAAATAATGTTAATAATAATAACAATTTGGAAATGATATTTTTTAATGTTAATAATAATAATAATAATATTACTGTTAATAAAGATGAAAAATATAATATAATTATTAATAGAACCATGAAAACAAAATTTAAAACACAATTTTTTAATTTTTTTAAAATTAAAAATAAAATATTTTTTGGTTTAAAAACTGAAAATAAAAAATAAATTTAAAAATTTACTTTTGATAAAATAATAATAATTTTTTATTTTTAAAATTAAAAAACTAAAAAATGATTTTTAAAATAATTTATAAATAAATCCATGAAAAATGGTTTCAATCATGGGTAAGAAAGATGGTGTGAAAGTATTAATAATATTGATTTCTATCCTCACAGGAAGGAATCTAAGGAATCTAATGTGGGATCTATGAATATATTTCTGTGATTTTTTTTATTAACGAGATGACAATTGTTTTCATTTTGTGAATAAATCTTGTAATTTATTTTTAAAGAAAATGTTTAATATTTTTTTAAAATTTACTTTGAATGAAAAAATATGACATTGTTTGCATTTTTTATGTTAAAATTTATAAGTGAAACAGTAAAATAGTATGTTTTTCAAAATAATAAATAATAGAGTGAAATAAAAATAAATAGGATTGTTTCACCAAAGTCTAAAGAATAAGGGTTTTACTAAAATAAGAAATAAAGATAAATAAATTTTAGAGGGATTAATGTATTAAGGGTGAAGGAAAAAGAAAGAAAAAAAGGGCAAGATTTGCGGTGGCGGTGCGCGTGGTGTAGTAGTGAACACGGAAACAATAGACGTTGCTTACAAAACCATTGGCGCCAACCCCTGTTTGTTTCCTCTGCCATCCAAATTCCCTTCCTTTTTTTCTCTCTGCCTCTCCCAACCCGCAATAAATAAATGGCTCTCTCTTTTCACTCCATTCCCAAACAGCAATGGCTGTGCCAACGAGGCTCCATCACCCCCACTCCTCCGCCTCCAAAATCATCATCTTCTTCTGCCTCTCTGCCTTTCTCGGCCTCGCCCTCTTCGCCAACCTCTTCCGCGCCTCCCTTTCCTCTAACTATCTCTCCATTGCCACCAACTGGGTCGACACCAATGCGCCCCTCCTCCTCGTCCCCAATACCACCGCCACACCCAACAACACCATAAACAACGTAAGCACTTTTCTACGCCTTTCTTTCTTCTTTCTATAATCTGCCTTTCTCCTTAATCCAATCCCACTAATTACCTCAATGTCTTCTATTTATATACACCGTTTTTGCTATATTACCGGTCAAGGCGAGATCTTTTTTCAACACACTATCAAGTCAACGACTATACGATGATGGGACATCTCCGGATGATCCAATAATGACTTGATCGAGAGTTGAGAGTTATCTCTTGCATGGTGTCTCTTTGGACAAACATATTCACTAGAGAAAAAATATAATGCAAAAGGAAAATTTCTCTAAATAGCTTAATTTAACTTTTTAATTTCAAATATCCAAATATAACTTTAATAAAGTATTATTGTTTTAGTTATATCATTAGTCTAAGTTAATCTCCAATTTGAGAATTTAAGATGAGGATTTCAATTAAGGGTGGTGAAGGATTGTTGCCTGTTTAGATGGTCATATTAGGTGATAACGTGTGACTTCTATCACATTTCTTCAGGATTGGATATGTTGAACGTGAAGTTTGGGCATACGTGAATCTCTTATGTACACTAGCCAGATAACCGATGATGAGATGTCCTAAACCTATGTACACTATTTTGACCATATTATGTTAGATAACGGAATCTCCAATGTCTAGACTAGACATTTGAGCAGTCAAATTTGGATATATGCCAATGGTCTAGAAATGGCTAATCCATAGTAATACCTAGGATCGATTTTGGTTTCATGTTATAATTTAGGTTTCGGTTTAACTCAACTCCAGAAGCTAGTTTATAGAGTGATAGCTATTCTTATATATGTATATTATTTTGTCAGAGTCTCTAATCAATATACAATTTTTGAACATCTAGGAGTTGATTCATTTGTTGTGTGTTTTGATTGTTGCAGGGAAAAGGTGGCAAGGTTGAAAGGAGGGGTCCTGAGAGATTCCTTTCATCTACATTTGCGGACTTGCCTGGTCCCGAATGGCCATGGGAGCAGATGCCTTCGGCTCCAGTGCCTCGGCTAGATGGGTACTCTGTACAGATTAAGAATATGTTTTACGTGTTTGCAGGATATGCCCATCTTGACCATGTGAGTGTTTCTTATTATTTGATTATTTCACAATTAAATTAGTTCTTATTAATGAGCTTGGCGTATGACTTTTGTTTCTTTAGGTGCACTCCCATGTTGATGTGTTCGATTTCGATGTCAACAAGTGGGTAGATGTATTTCAAATTCCAAAGGAAATGGCTAATTCACATTTGGGTGTGGCAACTGATGGGAGGTATATATATATTATCTCAGGACAATATGGTACCCAATGCAGAGGTCCTACTACAGCTTCATTTTCGCTAGACACTGCAACAAAGAAATGGAAACCTTTGCCACCATTACCAGCACCCAGGTACAACTTTTAACATATGCATCAATAACCTTTGCCATCATTGTTTGACGCCGTGAATTACATGTTACTTTGTAAATTGTGGAACTTACAGACAAATGCAATTGATGTGATTGCAATTGTGGTCATGATGCGGTTGTGGTTACCCCAAAAGCAAACTATTATCATGGCTACAATTGTGGTAGCAAACTGCAATTTAAAACCTCAGGCCTTGCATCTAACAATTGAAATTCCTGTTAAATTAGTCACTGTTCACTACATTGATGATGATTTTCATTTTTTCTAGAGGCCGACACTTACAATAACTTTTTGATTAATGCACGATTTTAACATGAGAATTTCTTGTACCAGGTATGCTCCTGCAACTCAATTATGGAAAGGAAGACTCCATGTCATGGGTGGTAGCAAAGAGAATCGCCATACACCTGGACTAGATCATTGGAGTTTGGCTGTGAAGGATGGAGAAGCATTGGAACAAAAATGGCGAGATGAAGTTCCCATTCCACGCGGCGGACCGCATAGGTTAGAAAATTGCTCAGATCCTAGTAGTAGGCTGCAATTCCTGTCTAATAGTTAACCATGATGTTCTTCTCGTTTAATTTTCTGAGAGTAGGAATACTGTGTTATTAAAGTCTGATAAGCTTTTTGTTGGAATACTTGAAAAGTGGTGTCATATTCATAGTCTTCAAATGGAGTTTTTCATCTAACTCTAGTTATTTGGTGCAGGGCTTGCGTGGCAGTCGATGATCGACTCTTCGTTATTGGTGGACAAGAGGGTGATTTTATGGCCAAACCTGGTTCACCTATATTCAAGTGTTCACGCAGGCACGAGGTATCTTTGTCTGTTTCTCAACATGAACCATGATTTACAGAGTAAATATTTTAATTTGGTAGTTTTTTTTTTTGAAGATGAATGACATAGGAAGTCTTTACCAGTATGCTTAAATTGTTTTTTTTTTATCACAATCGCATTTATTGGATAGATGATCTTTTCAAGTAAACTCATATGGCTTAAATTTTGTTACATTTCAGGTGGTCTATGGAGATGTTTATATGCTGGATGATAAGGACATGAAATGGAAAATTTTGCCAGCTATGCCAAAACCAAATTCACACATAGAATGTTCATGGGTATTTGTCAACAATTCAATTATCATCACAGGAGGCACCACAGAAAAGCACCCAGTGACAAAAAGGATGATGCTGGTTGGGGAGGTTTTCCGGTTTGATTTAGACTCTATGGTACACTTCTCAATCTTTTACTCATTAGAAATAGATTGTGCATCTCTCTTTATTCATTAATACCTCCTAGTCTCTCACATTGCTTATTGGCTATTGTAATTTTATGAATAGTGATCAAATGAATGGATCATCTAGAAGCAACAATAAACTTCATAAAACCAGTCCATAAAAATTTCTCCCTTAGTTAAAATGAGTTCATTGAAGTGATGAAGTGTCATTTTGTAACATATGATTCATTATTGTTTCTGATTACTGGTTGCAGACATGGTCAGTGATTGGAAGGCTTCCTTACCGTATAAAAACCACATTAACTGGTTTTTGGGATGGATGGCTATATTTCACATCAGGACAAAGGGACAGAGGACCAGATAACCCACAACCAAGAAAGGTCGTCGGAGAAATGTGGAGAACGAAATTACATTTGACATAGTTTGAGATAAGCTGCATCTTGTGAAAAGTTGTTTTCTTTTTGCTTTGCTTTTTCTTTGTTTTTCCTTTCCAATTTTTGGTTCGCATTGATGCATCATGCCTATTCAAATTATTCGTCCTTTCCTTTTCAATTAATTTAATGCCCTCATTGGGCAATACATATGTAAAGTTTGTACATAAATTATTGCTCAAATCTGAATGTGTATTTATCGCCATTTTACTGGATGTTTCAATCAATTAGATTAAGCTTCAGAATATTAGTGTTGATTGATTCTTAAATCAATTTTGTTTTAGAAAAGAAAAGGAAAAGTTATTTGAAGTGCTGAAATACCTCACCAATAAGAACAATGTAAATATGGAAAAATATGAAGTACATAATTGTATCTATACCATTGTATCCCCTTTTTCTTTTTAATTTTTTTTATCCCTTTTTAATGAATTATTCAATTTTTTATAAAATAAAACAATTTAATTATTTAATAAAAAAATTGGTAGTCATATACTCGTTCACTAAAAAGAATAATCTTATGATCTATTTACAAGGTGATTTCTTAAAATTGAAATCGGTCATAAATTTTTATTGATGTAATGTGAATTGATTAGATATTTAATATAAAATGTAATATTTTATTTTTATTAAAATTTCCTTTTGGAAACTTTTATAATATAAAATTACTTATTATAATTAATCCCATTTAATCTTCTTTGGAGAGGCTATTGATTCAAAAGCTTTATTAATTTCTTTTGAAAAAATCTTAATAAATATATAACATGATTGTTCGATAATTAGTATAAAATATTTTTCGCCACTCACACTCTATGAGAAAACTAAAATAAACCAAATTAGATTATTAATTTTTTGAAAAAGTATCACGAAATGTTGCCAAAAGAGAAAAAGAAGTTGCCAAAGGAGCTAAAAAATGGCAATGACTAGTTTTTCTATAAATTAAATGTCATTTTGGTGAAAGTTTCAGTATGGGAAACTAACCTTCCAAAGATTCTATGCAGCACCTTGGAAATTTGGCAGTTTAGACAAACCTAAAAACTAACTTTCTTAACGGATAATGTACATTAACTATTATTATATATACCAAAATTTAGATTTGAGAATGTCAATCAATCTCAATGTTAGGAAAAACATTAAGTTATCATGTTTGAATTTTCTCATATTACAAAAATTGAGTTTGAATAATGGATGAGGATAAATTTCTCTGTATATTTGTACATGACATCACGAAACAAAAAGTAGTCAACATAGTTTTTTTAACTTATAAATATGTATTTTTTTTTAAATTAGTAAAATATGTAAATTAGGTAAGTTGACTAATTGAAATAAATGTTTTAGGAGAGTTCAATTATTAAAATAGGTGACTTATATGCATTAACTCACTAAAATAAATAGATGAAATTGGTTAATTTACTAAAATATCATTCATAAATTTACATTAACACAGTTAAAAAAATTAAAATTGAAAAAATTTGAAAAAATTAGGTTAATCTTTCGTCATTAAACTCAAACTTGTTTTGTTTAATCCATGTGTAAAATGAGTCTTTAGTCTATAATTAAAATTTTTAAATTTTTTTTTCAAGGCATTAATTAGATGCATATGTTCCGGAAAAATTTACTACTCGTCAATGATCTTGAAGTATAACACGTAACTATCGTCTATATACTACTATTTGAGTAGTGAGATTTATTTGTATCTTTTTACTCCTTATTTTTTCCTAATATCAATTTTATACGTTTTTTATTGTTATCTTATTCACTTATTATATGTTAACATTAGAATTAAAATGTGATTCGTAGGTAGATTTCTTTCCGTCATTCAATATTATGCTCAATTTATACATATCACTTAAAATTATCTTAATCCAATGCCACACAATTTTTTATTTTATTTGATTTTATATTCATAAAAGTTCCTTATAAAAAAATCATCTAGTCGTGCCAAAAGAAAATGGTGGTATTATGCATATGGCATAAAGGTTCATGTCAACGACTACGAAACTTTCAAGTTGCAATTGACAGTATATGTGAACATTAATTACCAATGACGTTGAATTAATATTCTTTAGATTCAAAGGTAGAAAATCAAAGCTGGGAGTATCGTAGAAATTTCCTCGTAGACAAACTCAAAATCCAATCACTTTCATAATGCAGCATTAACACTACTAATTCATGGTCTTTCATTGACTTTATCTCCAGGCATATTCTCGGTTCAACATTTTCTTTGGGGCTTATTAAATGCTGAGGGTTTTTTAATGGGAAGAAGAGAACCTCTGCCATGTCACTCATTAAATGCTTCTTTCTCCTGCAACTGTTAACATGGTCAAGGGTGCTTCTGGCTCATGAAACAAGTCATTGCTCAAGCTCCATTAATATGAGCATAGGTGCTGTGCTTGATTTAAGTTCACTAATTGGAAAACATCAGAAGGTAGCCATGGAAATTGCACTCCATGACTTCAATCGGTTGAATTGCTCCAAGCTGGATTTAAAGATCAGAAATTTCAATGGGAATTCAGCTCAAGCAGTTGCTACTGGTAACATCATCCATGCTTTCATTATTTTTCTAAACTTATCCCTTTATTGACAATAATTCAAATATATTTGAAGTTGTGCATAGAAACGAGAAAAATTAAGAAATTTATAAATAAGAAAAACTCATAATCCAATATTAAGATTTTGGATTATCTTTGTAAAAATATGCATATTGTTTATTATTTTTTTTTAAATACTTAGTTTTTTAATTTTTAAAAACTAAAATTTCTTTTGTTGACTACTCTTTTGTTAACATAGTTTTATTATCTATTATTTTTTTAAGTTTTTTTTAAATCAAAATTAGTAAAATATGTTTTTCTACTTTTAGTATATTTTTTTCATTAATAACATCCACGTCATTACCAGTAATCATAATATATTGTCTTATCATGAAGTTATTAAAATTATTTTTCGATTTCATATCATTTTCTTTTCTAAATTAGAGTTATTAAATATTTGTTTTCAACTTATTGTGATGAACAAAAATCATCATTAAATATTAGATTTAGTTATAAAAATGATTATTTACATATTTTTAAAAATTGAAAAATGGATTTATCAACCTAAAAATATAAAAAATATATATTAATTTAAAATAATACAATGATCATATATACATAAAAAGTAAGAAGATAAAATATTAGATTTTCCTTTTAACAAACTAAGATAAAGTTGGCTGATTTTTCATTGAATCAATTTTTTTCCCTTTTTATTAATATGTATTCTCTAGGTTTCCTTGAAATTCAAATCCTTTTTTTTTCTTAATTTCATGAGTATGTCTTGTAAAAGAAAAAAAATTGTATTGATGTCTCTTATTTACTTTTTGATTTGTTATGAAATTAGTATGCCACGTTATTCATTTAGTTTTATTTTTTAAATTAGAAATTAATTTTAAAAATTAATTTTTGAAAATACATTAAGAAAAAATGTGTTTGATATCGCTAATTTTAAAATTATTTTATATAAAAAATTAACTTCAATAACAAGAAAAGCTACAGAAAAAGTTAAAAAATATTTTAACAACTTCAAAGGTGGGTGAGACAATGTAATTATTGATGTAAAATACTATTAATGAAAATAGATAATTAAAATAAAAAAATATTTTTTATTAGTTTTGATTTTTTACTTTTTAAAAACTAAAAAAATTAAAAATGATTTTAATAATTACTAAACTTTTTTTATTTAATTATTTTTAAAAATATTAAACAAACAAGTTTTGATTTACATGCTACACGAAAATTGCTAGTCATTTTTCACCACACAAGATATAAACTGCACAACGTGGCAAAATATAAACAAACAATGATATAATAAACAAATTAACGAAAAATATTTTAGTAATGCTAATAACAAAAATGTATTTTTAAACTCTTCTACTTAAATGAACAGAACTTGAACCTTATTATTTATTATATTGAAGTTTTGTGTTGTTGGTGATTTTATAAGGACTAAAATGTAAAATTTGTGATAATTTTTTTAAATGGGTTGACAATATTTTAAGTGGATACACTCATCACTTTAAAATAAAATAAAATTGATATCTCATGAAAATTAGATTATTATTTTAATTAACAATTTAATAATTTATTAAATTAAAGTAATTTATGATTAAGATTTAGAATTTAAATGGAAATAATATATTATTTGGAATAATCCATTTTTAAGTGAATCCTATTTTAACAACACCTAAAATTTGTTTCCTACATCAACCTTTATTTCTATTGTAGTTGTTTCTTCTATACTTTATTGTTTTCAACCATAAAAATAGATATTGATTATTAGAAGTAATAAGAGTCGATCCTTTACAACTTAAGAATTTATGCATTGATAACTAGAATGATGAAACTTGGTTAAATATAATAGATATACCAAATGATACATGATAAAAAAATCCTCTAAAAGAAATGATAAATCATCTTGTTGAGAAGAAATGATAAAAAAATCTCTCGAAAGATGAGAAAAATATGATGAATATATGAATATAATTCTTTCTTTATAAAATAATATTTGCTCATTTTCAATTCTTTGATGAAATACTTTCCATACGAGTTTTCTCACCAAACACTTGTTAGTTATTTTTTTATCTACATAGGCGACAATTTCCGAGCATCACTAAGAGGTGATTGGACTACTCTAGTTTTGATTATTACAATAACGGTGAAACTTTCTAATAAATGGAATCAGGGAAGAATATAAATAGATTAATCATTATGTATTATAGGGACTAAAACCATTTGTTTTGTCAGAATAATTCCTTAAATGATATCACCTATAGGAGTAACTGTGTGTTGGGTTTGACATTTGAAGTCTTGCATCCACGTTAGAAATAAGGAAACAGAAGTTATTCAAAGTAATTTTAACTTGTATGTAAATCATTACTCCAAGTGCGACTTGATCTTGTTAAGTCAAACTGCATTTAAATGATTAATTTTTACTCACGTCATTTGATGCTAGTGGACCGTGTCAACCACTCTTTGACGTCATCAATATAAATGTAACAACAATAACCAATCTTTAAAAAAAAGTGGTTGTGGACTAAAATTTATTTTTGGTCTAGGAACTGATACTTAAAAATAATGGCAACTATTCGCAGTAAATGAATGTTTTAACCAAATTTGTGCAGACCAAACGTCCTAACATAATTTTCTTTTCATAAATATAGCTATGGACCTGGCCCTAAGCAAGGAAGTGTTAGCCATCATAGGTACAATAGCACACAATGAAGCAACTCTGGCAAGTGAACTTAACGACAACATAAAAAATATTCCTATATTGTCTCTAATTTCACCTGTAGCCAGATCAGAGCAAGTATCACCTCTATTGCCAAATTTCATCCAAGTGGGATATAATATCATCCTTCACATGCAATGCATTGCAGCCATTGTAGGAGAATTTGGATGGAGAAAGGTGACAGCAATCTATGAACTTGATAGCAAGTTTTCCTCTGATCCAGGGATGCTACTCAACCTCTCCTATTCTCTTAGACTTGTTGGTTCTGAGATTGTCAATCATGTAGCTTTCCCTTCCTTTGTCTCTCTATCAGACCCAAATTCTGCCATTGAAAATGAGCTTAATAGGCTAAAAAGCAAGAGTAACAGGGTGTTCTTGATTGTGCAATCTTCTTTAGAGCTGGCTAGCCTACTGTTTGAGAAAGCAATGCAAATGGATCTAATGGGAAAGGGTTCTGTGTGGATTATCCCAGATGGGGTTGCTGGTCTTCTTGATTCAGTTAACTTGTCTGCTATCCGTAACATGCAAGGAGTTATTGGATTTAAGACACACTTCTTGGAAACAAGCAAGGCATTTAAAAGGTTTAAATTCAAATTTCGCAGAAGGTTTTTGTTGGAGTTCCCTGAAGAAGAGAACAACAACCCAAGTTCCTTTGCAGTTCAATCGTATAAAGCAACCTGGGAAGTTGCTCGAGCTGCAAGGGAATCTCAAGGGAATTTAACCCTTGAACAGTTATTAAAAAGTAATATCTACAGGAATGGAAAATTACGGCAATCACCTACCCTCAGTATAATTAATGTGATAGGTAAAAGTTACAGAGAGTTGGCATTATGGTCTCCAGCACTAGGTTTCTCCCAAAGCTTTGTTACACAACAGCTGACAAAGATGATGAACACAGCTAGTGCTTCCAGTGGAGTTTTGAGTACAGTTTATTGGCCTGGAGGTATACAATTTGTTCCTAAGGGATGGATTCACAGCACCGAAGAGAGGACATTGCGAATAGGAGTGCCTGCAAAAGGTGTATTTACTGATTTCGTGAATGTAAAATATGGTATGAACAGGAATGAAACTTCTGTTACCGGATTCTCAATAGATGTCTTTAAAGCAGCCGTTGATAATTTGCCTCATGATTTGGTATTCTCGTTTGTTCCGTTCAATGGATCTTATGATGAGTTGGTAGAACAAGTCTACAATAAGGTATGGCAACAGTTAACTAGGTTTCAGAGTTGAAGTACAGGCCTTGCTGATTCTGTATTGTGGAATTTTATAATATTTTTTTTTATAAATTATAATATATAATTTGAAACTGAAACTCTCAGTCCCACTTTTCTCATTCTCTTACTTAGACATTCTCAATATTTCAAATTTTTATTTTTATTATGAATGCTCAGTTATAATGTAACTAAACTATACAATGCACAAGTTAAAATGCTAGTTCTTACACAAACCACAACCCCATTTTTTTTCCTGTGATTTTTTTTTTGGTCTTTAAAATTGTTGCCTTTTCATAATAAAAATCTAAACTTTTATTTCTGGCGTAGACATTGGATGCTGCTGTCGGGGATACATCAATAACGGCATATAGATATCATTTAGTTGACTTCTCACAACCGTATGTTGAATAGGGCATTGACATGGTGGTTACAGAGCAGTCAGCTAAAGCAAAGGAAACATGGATTTTTCTAGAAGCCTTTACCAAAGAGATGTGGTTGATAATGACAGCATTGCATATTTTTGTGGGATTTATCATTTGGTTGATCGAAAGGCAAGTTAATGCAGAACTAGAAGGATTGGGGTCCATGCTTTGGTTCTTAGTCACTGTAATATTCTATGCACACAGTAAGGCCTCTGAATTGATATTTGAGTTTAGAAGAGTAAAATTTCTAATGCTAGAAGAGTTTAACCGCAAGTTAATTCATTTTCTCTACCTAGATTCTTAAACTCTTCCATATATGTTTATTAGCTAACGTGAGAGCTTGAAAACCTTGATCAAAACTTCAGCTAGCACTAAGATACTGTCGCATTTTTTTCTCCAACTTCAATAAGTTTTGCCCTACGAACCTTTCAAAACTGTAGACTAAGAAACAAACGAAAATATAGTAATGGAGACACATTTGTCAAAGTCCATCTAGGGATATCCCTGTTTCGTCAGCAGTATTCACTGTTGATTATTTAAAGAATATGATGATACTGACCAAACCTTTTCAATCACACCTCTTTCTTCCTCCTTCCTATTCCTAATTCTGTGTACATTTCTAAATTCTATTTAAGCAGGAGAACCAATTAGAAGCCCATTGGCTCGAACTGTGCTGGCACCGTGGTTATTCGTGATCCTCATTGCAACTAGTACTTTCACAGCAAGTTTGACTTCCATGATGACTGTATCACAAATAGAACCATCTGTGTTAGATATCCAGACTCTACAGAAAAGAAATTCTCCAGTTGGTTGCAATGGAAATTCGTTCATTGTGAAGTATTTGATTGAGGTACAAAATTTCAAGCCTGAGAACATTAGGAAAATTAACTCTATAGATGATTACCCTGATGCCTTTCAGAACAAGGATATCGAAGCCGCTTTCTTTATTGTACCTCACGCTAAGGTGTTTTTGGCGAAGTACTCATGCAGGGGATTAATCAAAGCAGGGAACACTTTCAGGCTTGGTGGCTTAGGTTTTGTGGGTCTCTCTCCCCTTATTCTCACCATTTTATTACAGGTTTGGAGGCAGTGAAAATTGGGGTAATTGTAAGGAAAAGTTGAAGTTGTAGACTTATGAAATATACCAATACTTAAGCACTCATCACATGCATTTATCCAATTTTCACTCCGACCAAACTTGCGAGACATTGCACATACTATTTTTCAAAAAAAGATTGTCCTATTTCTGAAGCTGTTCTAAGTAGAAGTTCATTTTGGTTGTTTGATTACTTAGGTATTTCCCAAGGGTTCCACTCTGGCTACTGACATATCCGAAGCATTGCTTAAAGTGATAGAGAGTGGAGAAACCAAACAACTAGAAGAAGATATGCTAAGGGTAGGAGGCAATACCAGTTGTTCTCCTTTAGAGAGCAAGGCAAAAGATAGCTCATCGACAGGAGTTCAGCCTTTCCGTGGCCTGTTTTACATCTGTTCTATTGTTGCTATTCTGGCATTGTTATATAATATGATTTGTTTGTCGATGAATAATGTAGAAACCTTCACCAGCTACATACATGTAAGATTGACGCAATTAAGGAGAATATGGAGACGCACAAGCACAGCTTTTGCTGGGAGCCATTCAAGTCTCCAATTAGGAAGTGTGAGAACTGCCACAGTTACAAGAAATGCAGAGGACACAATCATTGATAGTCAGCAAAGCCCAGTGGTTATAGATGTGATATTGAGTGCTAATGCTTCGTGACCTACTAATTTTTCAAACTGCTGTAAAAAACATTTCATTGCCAAGTATTTAAAGGATATGAACACACACTTTCTTTTGGTAATACTGTGGAAATATGAAGTTTTGAGATAGAAAGATAAAGACATTTTAATACAGAGCATCTGAAGAGGACTATAGTGAAAGAAGATTATTCAATTTTTGTGAAAACTGAAGTGTGGGTTTTAAATCCTATGTGCCTATTTTTACTTATTGGTTTGTGCTTTCTTTTTCAATTTATCTCCCCCCATATCCGAAAAATACAAAATGCATTTTAGGGGGATGTTTGAAAGAATTTATATGCAACTTATTTGGACTAATGACTCGTATAACATCTTGATGAAGGATGATAGAATAATCCTTTTCACTTTTTCACTAAGTGTTGCACCAAAATTGATTACATAAGCTCAAACAAGACAACTAGAACTCTGTTGGGTTTACCAACCAACCATAGGTTGAACTTAAAATGAACCAACCCAACCTGGCTTAGTTTAGTGGTGAACTGATAACCTGACTCAACCCTTTCGGCTTGGCTATCTAAAGAAAACTGAAAAAGCACCAGAAATGGAAATAACATAAAAATTATAAAATTGCAAAATAAAAAGAAAAATTATACTAATCATATTATTATGCAAAACTAATTTACATCATCATTGACCAAAGAATACGTGGTTTTTTATTTTCACACTAACTACAAATCAATTTCTATCAAGTCATGGCTTAACCTCACTGCTCAAAGCCCAAAAGAGATTCATTGCAAAACAGAGAACTGCATAAGTAGCATAAGCTAATAATATTTACGCAACACTCTTCTCGGAAAATCAAAACCCAAGTTTCTGTTGTACGGAATCACAAATTTATGATCATACACTGTAATTAATATTAGTTTGCTATTTTCTAAATTGAGAGTTTATCCTCTCAATTTTATTTTTCGATTGATATACTTCCTATGCTGCTAATAGTACGGCCTTGTTTATTAAATAATTTTATGCCCAGATACAGAACTAACAGCCTCAACTTAAAAGATCATGATCTATAAAACTCGTATAAGAACAAGTCAGAAACTATTAAAGTTCCAGAACCAAAAACACATACAATCGAATCCTTTGACCAAAATAGGCAAGATTAAAACGACCCAAATGAAGCAAAACACAAATTAATAATAAACCAAAAGAAGAAAGAGTGATGGTAAGGTTTACTTGCAGGGGAGCTAGAAGTGGAGACAATGGTGTGGGTGGAGCATTCTGGTGCCCAAGTCACGGGCGTGAAAGGTTGTTTGGTGCCGATGACTAGACAACAACAATTATTGTAAATGAGGTCGAATATTTGAAGTCTGCTAGATCATAATCCTGCAGCAAAATTCTAAATGCATTGCTTAATAAGTAAAAATAGAGATTATATTAATAATTGGCTAATAAGTAAAAATAAGATTATATTAATAATTGACTAATAAGTAAAAATAGATATTATATTTTATTTTAGCATGTGATAAAATAACGGTTCAGAAGATATTTTAGGGAAAAGTAAAAGACAAGAAATAAATAATAAATTAATTAATTAAATATAATCATTGAGAGAAAAAAAATATTGATTGATCAATATTGAAAATTATACAATCCAGTGATCAATGTTTGATTTTTGGCATGACTCTCTCCCACCATTGATGACATTTTTTTTTATCTGATCTTAATTGTCGAAAAAAATTTATATATCGGGATTGACACCATGATACTTTTATTTATCAAATATTTTTTATCAAAATGTTTTTAGATTATTTTTATTTGTTTTTTAAATTAATCAATTAAGTAATTCATTAACATATTATGCAAACATAAATAATTTTATATTTGTTAATATTATGTTTTTTTCTTGAATTTTTAATATTTTCTAAATGTGGTTATATTCCATTTAAATTAAAATATATATTTAAAAAAAATAAATATTTAATTTTTCTTAATTTTATTTAAGGCTAAATTATTTTTGTTCTTTTAGATTATGTTGAATCGCTTATCTTTTGGTCACTTTTCTAGAGTTAAAATAGATATTGACTTTAATGGAAATTTATTAGAACAACTATTGGTCAATACGCTTCCTACATGACATGGCGCAATGTGGAAAGATTTTTGGTGGACAAGCCTCAAAGAAACAAGAAGATAATGAATGTTGAAGAATTTTGGTACAGAATATATGTTGGAAACTTTACAAAAGGACAAAGGATTGCGAAATGTGGTGGATCAACTTGATCAATATCCTTTATACCATTCTAACCTTTAATATTACACCATTTTTTCTTTAGATATTAATTAAAAAATCATTGGGTGAAGAAAAAATGCCGTGACTAAACTTTAAAGAATAATTTGATAATATTTTTCACTTATGGAATAAGTAACTATAGACATTACATCAATCAATAGTTTTTTTTTTTTAAGAACTTTTTTTTAAAAATCAAACTCGATTACGGGTTGATAGGAAATTCGGAAGAAATAATTAGCAAAATAGTTACATAAAAAAACATTGAATGAGGAATAATACGAGAAGATAGAAAATTCGGAAGAAATAATTAACAAAATAGTTACATGAAAAAAAAAACATTAAACGAGGAATAATACAAGAAGAGATAATGTTTATGAAAAGAGATAATGGTTATGAAATAATGGATAATATAAATAATCAACATAATGCATAATATGATTACATAAAGGAGCAATGAAATAATAAATCATAGACTAGAATTTCACTATATAATCAATCTTACTTTGTTTCACATTTTTTTTAATTGTGTTTGATGCTGAGAATCCATGGTGGAGTACATTGTTAGATATCAAATCAAATGGAAATATCTTGATAAATGATAATTTTAGAATAGAATATTTTTCTACTTCTTTAACAAAAAATGTTTTTACTTGGTTCACAACGCTTCACCAAATATAATTTATAATTGGGCTTAATTAGAAAGAAATTTTCATAAACAATTTTTTAGGAGAGAAACACAAGTTAGTATTATCGATATGATATGATGACTATGAAAAGATATTATAATAAAAATATCGATAATTATTTGAATAGGTTTACGTAAGTGTGAATTAGTAATAATGGTTTCATCAGAGTTAGAATTCTCGAGAAGGAAAAAATTGATCAATTTATCTTTGAGATATATAAATCAATTGATTGATAAAGTACAAATAATCAAACAATTTAAATATAAGAAAGAAGATATAAAAGTTTAGGACCCATTAAAAAAAATAAAATAGGGTATATCGGTGCTCGAACAATAAACTATCTTATATTTTAGAAGTTGATGAGGTTAGAGGATGTAAGCAAAAATAAGGATATTAATCTCGCTGAACTTAAAGTGGGACCATCATATACTTGTAAATTGTTACAAAAAAGTGAAATATTAAATAAAATGACAAATTAAACTTATAGTTTTGATGTATCAAAAGCTGATCAAACATTTGGCATTCTACTAAAAGATAAACAAATAAAATTAAGTGATGATCATAACTAAAGAGAAGAAAATATTGCAAAGTTCATAATATATGGTCATTTGACTGATAATTGTATAAATTTTAGGAATACTATTCAAGATGCTATCGAACAGGGTAAACTAAAATTTGAAGAAAAGTCGATGAAGGTGGACACAGATCCTTTCATGAATCATGTGAGTTATGTCGAGACTAAACTCAACACTAATGAAGGTGTTGAAGATGTTGATGATTGGAAATTCACATGGTGGATATCACATCAAATGATATAAATCCAAGGCATGTGAAAATGAATGAAGTTGAGAAAGATTTTGAAAGAATTAGAAGAATTTGAAGTGGAGAACGAGATTTATCCTAAGATGGAAGACACATTGGTTGAATTTTTAAATAGGAAAAAAGAGAAGGATAGAGACGTTGCTCTTTATCTGAGGTGCAATTCTATTTTTTATAGATTTGTTGCGAACACATTGAATTGAAAAAAAAAGAAAAAGAGTGGCATAAAAACAAAATCAATGCTTTGATTATAACGATAAAGAGATTCAGGTGACAACAAGTGATAGTTAGAAGCAATTTCGAACCTTTTTACCTTATGCGAAGGTAAATGAGAATGAATGAGTGGGAGGTAAGATTTTTTGTCAAGGTAACTATTGATTGAGGAATCAAAATATATTTGACAAGTTGTCATACAATCCAAATTTCTATATTGGGTATCCATGTCATCAAAAGGGATTTCATCGAGGAGTTCCTTGGATGAGAAGTAATATATCTCAACCTTTTTAGAGAAAGGTGTCAAGAGTAGGACCCATGGAGAGAGGAAGTCCAAGACTAATTAATTATTACTATGAGCCAAGACTAAAACCCAAGACTATATGGGTTACACAAGTGTCGTGCGAGTCCCCCAATTGAAAACTCTGCTTTATTAAATCCACCTATCGAAGAGATGAGGTTTCACTTAAAACCTCTCATGCTACAAACAATATCAAAGGAGTTAAAATAAGCAAAGTCCTTGTCGATGGAGGAGTAGCAGTAAACATCTTGCTTAACTCAACGTTAAACGATTCAGAAGGAAAAAAAGAGGATTTGGTTAAAAATAATATAATGGTTTCAAACATATACAAGAGCAACTGTATTTGTGGTGGTGAAATCTTATGCCAACTTTAACGCATTGCTTGGGAGAGAATGAATTCATGAAGTTAGTGGTGAAATCTTATGCCAACACTAAAGGAATACAAATATTGTTTTGCATGGGAGTATGACGAAATGCCAGAGTTGGGCAGAAGTTTGGTGGAACATCAATTATCCATTATCGAAGGAAGAAAGCCAATTAAATAAGCTCCGTAGAAATTTACACCAAGAAAATTAAAGAACAAATCAAGAGGTCATTAAAGGCTAAATTTATTAGAATGATCAGATGTGCTGATAGAATTTTTAATACATACAATGATTAAGAAATATGAAAAAAATGAGGACTTGTATTGATTTTAGAGATTTAAACAAAAT